GGCAGGCGTCGCTTCTTAGTTAACGTTGAAGAATTAGCTTCCGGCAATCAAACTACTCAGCCAACGGACGCAGGAGGACACGTGTGTGTGTGTGTTTGTGTGTGTGTGTGTGCGGTGGAGGCAGCATCACACAATGGAGGCGAGGAGTATTTGTCTAGGTCCCCCGGGAGAATCTAATAAAGTTGTTTACAAGCATATCTTGAATAAAGACACACAATACGCTCCTCTTTACCTTCCCCTCCCCTCAGGCAAACCCATTCACTTCCTCTCTGCAATAAGAAAAGGAAACGCTGCCCTATAGAATTTACCATCTAGGGTGGATAATTGATTTCTTTTGCTGGATCAAGAAAGGTACACCAGCATGTGATAAAGACCAGGCAGGGAGATAGATTCTCTCTCTCTCTAACAAACGCTGACATTGTTTCTGACTGGTGTGAATTCAGATTTTTTTGACTTTTCTAAAGTCAAGCTTCACACATTTTATCACTTTTACCTGCACGTGTTTGTGTACAGGTGGACACAAAAAAACATGTTCTTCTAAACAACATAAAAGGTAAATCCCCAGTCTGTTTAAAGCTTTGTATGACCCCCTTCCAACACCACTTCACCCTCGTCATATGAGATCCAGCCGCTAGTCCAACTCGCCCTGGGATCTTTATTGTGTAATGGGATTCATTTTTACAGAAACGGTTCAAACACATCCATAAACAGCCAACGTACAGTACATACACAAATACTAATAGATATTCTAACTGGCTAGAGGCAAAAAAAAAAAAGACAGCCAAGCTTATCTGTCCTTTCAATATAAGTGCCCGTTCACTCTGAGACACTAAACACTAATGTTTCCGGTGGAGTCTGTGAAAATGTTACTAGGAGAGAGTCAAATATTGTACCTACTCCTCTTCTCTAAGAGGCTGCTTCTTCCCTGTATGAGTAAGAGAGGTTCATAAGTTCACTACAGCAGTGATTTAGAGAAGCAAAGGTTGTTTTTGGAACATTAATAGTGGTGCGTTCATCACACTACGAGCTCAACAGGCGTCATGGAGAAAGGAAAAAGTGATTTGTGCACCTAAATAATAAATAATCAGGCTCTCAAATGACTCATTTGTGCTCTTAGATTACTTAATTTAGGCTCTGGAATTGTTTATTTCTGAGGACAAATGGATAGAACATATCATTAAATAATGTTTATATTTAAACATCATGTTAAACAGATGTCGGACATAAAGTTGTTAAAAGGACAAAAACTACAATCTACTCTATATCATGTTACTGTCGCAGTAGGAACTGAGGTCACATGTTATTGTGTCTAGCAGTACTGATCAGCTTTGGCTGCTATAAGTTAGCTGCAAACGTACAACTGGGAATGTCCTAATCAGCCTATTTGCACATCCTGCAGACACAGAAGAGAAGCATTGATTTGAGGTTAAGTTTTGTGGCCACCAGGCAAGTCCAAATTCACTCTCCTTTTAGCTCTTCTGTGGTCTTCACACATCTCCTAGTCTCCTGTCACACAACACATAACAAAATGATCCACTGATTATATAAAAATCTTGATAAGTGCACCTTCTATGCAGTTTGGTTTGGATTTTGGACAGAGATACGTGGACACACATGTAGCCTGTTAAAAAATGTTCTCCCTTAAACATACTGTATGTTTCATGTTAACAATTAACATATAATTCTGTTAATGTGTGCACAAATAATAATTTTACATAGATCTACCACTTTTCTCCCAATAAGTTAATATACAGTCTATTACAATATACATTTCAACATATAATGCTGTAAATAAAAACAAAAAAAACTTTCATTAAATGTTTTTAAAGTGCGTAAATAAATCCGAAATTGTGTAACCCTAACCCTGGGTCGTCAGTGCGCATGTGTAGGCGTAGCGTGTTTGCGGCGGTAGTAGAGGAACACTTGCTGAAGAGAGCGAGCCCCAGCTTCACTGGTGTTGTGCCGAGTTGTCCGTAATTTATCACCGTTGATGAACCACACAAATAATGTTTTATTCATTTTTAAATAGCCGGCTACTTAAAATAGACCCGCGAGGAACCGCGACGTGCACGCAAAACTCTGCACAAGACCGGTGAATGACAGGCGAGAGAGAGAGAGAGAGAGAGAGAGAGAGAGAGAGAGAGAGAGAGAGTCAACAATAAGCCTCAGTTTAGCTGGAAATTCAGCTTCTCAAGATTAAAGCAGAGCCACCACTTGTTAGCCCCCCTCCGCCTCACAATCGCCGTGCACAAAAACACACATGATTCGACTACAGGCAGGACTTGACTATTCTGATTAGACTATGTAAACCCTTAGCTGGGGACAGCCCTAGTAATCAGTGTGGACAATTTATTAATTTGAGAGCACAAATTATTCATTTATTATTGTTTTTTTGGCCCCCCATGATACCAGCCAGGCTGTGTATGATCCAAAGACCAGAGAAGAATTGAAGATTGAGCCACATCAGAGACACTGTCTGAAAAAACCCAATACATTTAGTAGACTGCTGGGAGTTGAATAGCATGTCTGAAACGTGGCTTTGTGAAGTCCTTTTGGAGCTAAATTCTGTTTGTTAACTTCTTTTCTACGACTGCCATAGAGTATCAAAACATAATACAAACTCATTAAATTAACTGTTTTAAATCAGCCTGAATCATGTGATCATGGTTTTGCCCTGCTGGCTAGCGGCAGGGCTTAGGAGTGGCAGTGTGTGAGTTTATGCGTCAGTTTGTGACTTTGAGAGACTAGTAGCAGTGTGTGTGCGTGTGTGTGTGTGTGTGTGTGTGTGTGCTTCTCTAACAATTAAGAACAGAAGCTGAAGACTCGGTTTACAGTTAAATAAAGAATCAAATGCACACGTGTCGTGTCAGCTTCGAGTGAACATCTGTTGTCTCATCTGTTCGGTGTAATTGTCTGATGTTCTGTTTGATGTAAGAGTCGTGTTTTTCTTTGGCTGGAAAAACTTTAAACGAGCTTCACAAAAATAACTATGTAGAGAAATATTGGTGTTTTATCTCACTGACCAACCTTTTTAACAACAGATCCGTCCCACGCACCAGGGATTAAAGCGAAACACAAGCCACATTCACCTCATCTGTTACTGAGGTGAATGTGACAAATATCACAAAGAAATCTTTTTTCAAATAAGTAGATGGTCTCTTGCACAACAGAGGAAAAATGAGCCAAAGCCTGAAGCAGTAAATGATCCAAGAAGACGCTATTGTTCAAACAACATATCTTCAGAATAAAGCTTTAAGAGATATCTGACGATCTGACATCTATCTCCATATTAGCTAGCAGACGTTTTCTGCTTGCAGCTTTTGTTTCTCGTTTTATATTTTTCCCCCCCTTATGTTTACGTTGATTTCAAAAATCTCTGTGTGGCAAAAAAGTAGAAATGGATCCACTTTGTAACAGAGCAGGATTGATCTAACTTTGACAGCTCTAACAGCAGATACAGATAACCGCCTGGGCGCAAGCGAAAAGATAACGACTTAGAGTGAATCACTGTTCCACAAGATACATTGCAATTTTAACAAGCCTGAATACTTTGTGTGTATCTAGTGGAGTAAAAAAAAGTTTGAAAATAACAATGCAGATGACAGGAAAATGATTTTGTTTGTTGCAGAGATGTTATGCAGAGCACACGTTCCTCTGCGGTGGAGATACTTCTGTCTGATAGGAAACACCAGTGGTTGATAGGTTTTATTGCCATTTGACCAAACACAATGTGCAGCCTTATAAGAGCACCGTTACTTCACATACATAAGAAGAGAGTAATGTGTGTTAATGTTTTTGTTCAGCCAGAATGGGTTTTATTAAATATATAAAAGTTTATTTCATTGTAATATCAGACACAACAGCATTATGAAAAGCTTTTTGCCTTCCAGCAGCAGAGAATCAAGTTATTAACAAGACTATTATATAAAATAAAGTGGTCAAAAGATACATTTGTTATATGCTGCTGTTTAAATATGGATTATTACGTTTTCTGGACAGACGTATGACGTGAGCAATTTGAGTTTAAAACTTATTACACCATGGCCACTGAGAACGTACATATAGTATAACTGCATACATCTGATACAGGTGTCCATTTGCAGATTGAAGCAGTGTTAAAAACTGCACTAATAAATATTTTTATAGAAGCTATGACTATTAAATGGCTACATGTAATGTGATTGGAGGGGCTCGTAGTGACAAACGCAGAGAGAATCATCACCCGACCGCAGTTCCCCTCGTCTCTACAGACCCTCTCAGCGGGTTATAGCTCAATTTTTGGCTCTACGTGACCACACTTCAACCTCGTTTCCAGCTGCAGCAGGCAGCTGTTTTCAGGAGAGAGAAGCCCCGATAGATCCGCTGTACACTGTCTGCTCAGCGCCAAACAGCAGACAGACACGATTAGAGACCAGCTGGTGAAGAATATCTCATATCTTGTCTTTTGCCGTAGCAAATTCATAAGGAGATAATATGTCAGTGTTGAGGTTAGCTTGTTTCATTGGCCCCAAATGAGCAAAAATAATCAATAAAAATAAATCTAACATTTCCCTTGGCCTCTCTGTAAAGCTGCATTTAAAACCTTTTCCTCCTCGCAGTAGTTTTCGGTCCTGACTCTTGCAAAAATCATGCGTCTCTGGAAACATCATTTTATGTGATACACCACAATTCTCTATTCTTGTTTGAGTGTATTCACAGTCAGAGAGCAGATGATTAGTGACCTCTCTCTGTATGTGTGTGATGGGTTAGGGTTTCAATAGTTTTCTATAATCTGCCCCCTGTTGTACTTGTCGCACCGGCTACATGCTGTCAAGCAATGCAAGAAGCAGAAATTCTAAAGAGCTATAAAACGATTCTTTGTTAACCATTACCATAAATGTGCAGCTTTCATCTTGTTGAGTATTAAACCTTACAGGCAGCACGGTATCATTTTATTGTCTTGTTTATGTGTATAAAAATGTATGTTTAGCTGACTTTATCCAGACATCAACACAACTTACGAACACACAGGTTTCCACTTTCATAGAAGCCTGGGCAGCACTGAGAGCGTCGCCTGTACATGGTCCTCACGCCTCGTCTGTACGCCGTCTTGTAGCTGATCCTGAACATGACACACACACACACACACATAAAGTGAGGAGTGCGTAAATTAGTGTAATTTGTGATTATAATAGAAAAATGAAAGACTACCGTCACTCGTCTATCATTATTCTCTAAACGGCCGACTGAAAGGACACACTCAAATGTATTCCTGAAAGAAGAAGAACTCAGATTTGTACATGAATTTAAGTACCTTGGCGTTTCGATGATCTTTTCACAACATTCAAACCAATAGTCACTTTTCAAACTTTTTTAATCACTGCTTTATCCTGCAGAAACATAACTTGCTGAGCTTTGAAAAGGTTTCAAAGTTAATATTTGCCTGCGCTATACATGAGATCCTACATGGACTTGCTCCACCCCCACTAAGTGAATGCATTAATTTAAAAACAGCTGGTGGTGGCAGAAGTGTAACCAGGGCCTCCACGAGAGGTGGTCGCATGGCGCCGTACAGGCGTACAACATTTGGACAGTTTGTATCGTCAGTTAAGGGGACAGAATATCCGAGTTACCCCAGCTTTAAAAACCGTCTCAAACAATGGCTCAAGACCACTATTGCATGTGTATGGGTTTGTTCACCGTATAAGATGCAGCACTTTACTGCACTAAATAGCACTTTAATGTAATTCATTTGTACTTAATTTCATAGAATGGCACAAAATGGTGGTGTCTTTTATAATACATGATGTTGAAAATGATGTTGTATATATATTTAATTTGATGTTTAACTGTGTTACTTTATACCTTGTGACAACCTGCCGGGGACTACAGATGGAAAATAGCCTTGGGGTAATTCTGGCATATTTACATTGCTGAAAAGCTAATATGTTCATTATTATGCACTCTCCCTTTTAAATAAATAAATTAAATAAATAAAAAATGAAAGGTTGTGTTAAATTAAACCTTAAGTAAGGTTACTATTAAAGTGAAATTACATTTCACATTTTCACTTTAACTGAAAGTTAATGTTTCTTTTTATATTTCTACATTTTTCTTCAGGCCTTCTTTCCATTACAACTACTTTTATTAAAATGTTAAGAACAACAATTCACAATGTTATAGTGCTGTTAATAATGAGGACCCATAATAACAGTAAAAAGTTCACTTCTAAAAGGCGAGCGACACTTAACGTTTAAGGGAGTTTCTCCCTCTCATTCAAGGACGCTGATGTTGTCTGACATTTCAGCTTAAGATCAATGACTCAGCTCTTAGCTGGAGGAGCTAAACTGGTGGCTATAAAGCTTAATGTGGTCATTAAAGCAGATACGCCAACGGTCGCTCATCAAAATGACCACATCAGGCGGAGCTGAACTGCCAGTGTTGGGTAGTAGACACTAGCTACTGACTGCCTCTGAGCTCCAGCAACAGGAGTAAATACAGTTCAAGATGTATGGAGTTTGACAAACTGTATATAAGCTGTGAACTGGCTGGACGATGTCTCTGACGTAAAGTGTGATCAAATGTGATCACACTAATTGTTTTACAGAAATTTACAGTCCAGTGCTAAATCAATTCTTGACATCAAGCTCTCTTTTACAAGAGAACAAAATAGATATATATTGTACAAATAAATTTTGCATAACAGTTCAGTCGCACAAAGAAGTCATCGCACGTCAAGTCAATTTAAAGAATCACTAACTCGCCTCAAGGGGCTTTAACAGTCTGTGCAGTAAACACCATCCTCTGTCCTTAGATCCTCTGTCCTTAGACCCTCGATTTGGATAAGCAAATGAGGAGAAGAAGGAAAAGTTTATTCATTCTGTGATCTGGTATCATTGTTCACTTTGAACTCAACTAAGGACGTTAAATATCTCTGCAACTTAGATCCCCTAGTCTTTAAAAGAAAACAACAGTGTGCTGGCGCCCTCCGTATGGAGCACAATAGCTGTCGAATTGAATGGCACTCTGTTAAATTTAGGGACAACCACATGAGCGTATTAATATTTTAGACAGTATACTGGATTGTAAAATGGTTTGTCTGTTTTGAAAAGAGAAACAAGCTCAGTCAAATTTGAAAGTTTGTAAAGGAGGTGATTAGATTTACATTAAGAGAATGGATTGGAGCTCTGCGTTCTCCTGAAATGCATACATTTTGTCTTTTTGGAGTTCAGAACAAGATTTAAATATTACGAGAGGAGGACTGTAATCTGGTCTTCATTCAATTTAAGCCATTTATCAAGCAAAATGCCAGCCGGCCTCTGGTTTCAGCTTCTCAAATGTGAGGATCAGCAACTTTACTCTGTTTTCATCACAGTAAAATTAACTTTGGATTGTTAGTCAGAGAGTCTTTTTTAAAAGGTGCCACATTAGGCTTTGAGAAATACTGACATTGATTTTATGGACAAATGTATTAATTAGTTAGTGATAAAAACATTCAAGAAATTAAATGATTAGTGAATTAGTTGCTGCACTTGTCCACAGTGTGTTGCTGTGCGTCCATACCTGTGTCTGGTGCATTTGAACCAGTTGAGGATGTCGGTGCAGCGCGTGTAGTAGACCTGGTCAAATGGATGAGCGTAAGACTCCTGCACGGTCACTGCATAGCTAAAGGGAAAGAAAATACAACCACAGATTAAAAGTACAACTAGAAACTGTTGCACAAATCAACTTCTGATCTTGAAAAACATCTGTCTTTATTAAATTAACAGACCAGCCTGCCGCACGCTCCAACGTGAAACTCAAAGATTTTTCAAGTCTCTCAAACTCTCAAGGCTTTGGTGAAATCTGTAAACTCAATTGCATCATAGTGGAGTAGAACAATATCTCATGATGTCACCAAGTCATTAAAGTCACCTTTTAAAACAGTATCAGGATGTGAAGTATTGATCCCTCATCTTTAAAAGCTTTATTTTACTTTCCCAAAAAACAAAAAGTTTCAGGATTTCCAAGAATCCCGACATAACTTTACTTTTTACCCCCCCGTAACAATACACACCTGACACTGGTGACTTTGTTCTCAGTGTGTTTTCATGTTGTGTTGAATAAAGGCTACTGAATTGAGTCTAACCTTTAGCAAGAAGTGAAAACTGTAATAGTCATCAGAGGTAATATCCATTTCCACAATTCCTACTGATTACACTGAGAGACTATCGATCAGAGCACCTGCACTCTGTGTTGCTCTCACCAGAAACGACATTGTGCTTTTACTCAGCGTAGTAGCACTGAGTGGTGGGACCACTCAAACAGTCACATTACCATTGCTCTGAATTTACGACCCCAGTATGTCCCCAGGAGCAAACCTTTTCCGTTTTGCTTTTGATTATTGGCATACCCTCAGTCTTGATTTGTGGAGGCAGTCCATTACTTCACTGCAGCGTTCAGAGCGCTGCTATTTCACTTTCAGTGTTGGAGAAATTGGGGGGAAAACTGACCTCTCCCAGTGGCTGCAGACGTTGGGGTCATCCGGGTTAAGGGGAGACACCAGAGAGATCAAGCTGAACAGGTTGAGCCACAGCAGGGCTTGGGCAGAAACCCCACCGGCACCCATTGTCCTCGTCCCTCCGTCCTTGGGGAAGCAGAGAGACACAGTGACGAACAAGATTTCATCTTTAAAAGGCTGCGGTGTTGTGTGCATGAATCAGAAAACAGAAATATGGACTACTATTACCCTGAATTCTGACATCAAGGATTAAGGACAAAACAGGCAACCATTCCTTTGTGATCTGTTGGCTCTGCTCTTCAAACCAGTTCATCTTTATGACTAACTTCACCTGACTCCATTGTACTCATGGGCAGCGGTGGAAAGTAAAACTTACTCAAGAACTCTTCTTAAATAGATTTTGAGACTTTCTGCAGAAAAGGGAAATAAAACTACATTTATCTGACATATATAGTTACTCTTAAGTCTTTGTATTAAAAAATATAGCTTACATAAGCTAAGTTTTATATACAAAATCCAAATCTTGTGAGCCTTAAGAGGGGCCCGACCCCTAACGGTGGAAATCACAGAACTAAACTAACTGTATATAAATAGCTAAAACTAGCTCCACCTCGATCAGCTGCAATAGTAAAATGCTGCTGAAACATTCATGCATCAATATTAACAATATAATAATGTCATATATAGTATATAACAGTCACATGGGCTATTTTTCTTTCTTTATGTAAAGGATCTGAGTACTTTTTTTCACCACTGCTCACCGACTGCACCATATACTTGGCTGTGCTGTCCTGCTGCAATGGCAGGGAAAGATGTTTGCTTAAAAAAGGAGTGCAGGCGGCACAGGAAGCAGTAGGTATAATGTTGAATCTCTGTCAGCTAAGAATCAAACAGCAGCAGGTGGTGGAGATGTTGTGGTAAACTTTAATTAAATCTTCTCACAGCTTTTAAGTGTTTACAAAGACAGTACAGAACCTTCAGCCACTTCAAGCCCCATTCAGTTATTTCTCTGTCAGTAATACTATAACTGGCCACTTATCAGATTCAAAATGTTAACAAAATATAAACATAATATTAACATAAATATTCATGTCTTATATTGCTCAACAACAACCTAAGTTCAATGTCCAATACTGTAGTTAGTATCCAACATCTCATTATATCACTCAACCACTATCCAATTAAATATGATACCCCGCCTACTCATACTCATAAAGTGATTCTTTTGAGGAGGGCTTCCTCTTTAAGCACCAGCACGGGGACAAAAACTCTGAAAGAGGTCTTTGATAATAGTGATTCTTTTTCTTTGGACAAACAAACATGTAAAAATTATAGGTCATGAAAGCTAAAAAATGTAGAAGAGAGAAAGTTGTTCTCTCTTGGCATTTTCTTAATAAAAACAGTTTGCATTTGGCAAGAAAAATAATCTGTTAGCGAGTGGGAGTAAACCAGTATGGAAGGGGGGAAAAATGTAATTGCTGTAATTCATAGGAATGGAGCAGAGCGGACCACTGATAAAAACAAATCAGAGGGACTAATGAGATAAAACTGATACAGCAATTTTAAAAACTAAATCAAAAGGCTATGTTACGGTCGGTGGGCAATGACAAAAAGCACAAAAAGCATCAGGGTGTAAATATGGAGATTTCCTAAAATGTGAATAAAGTAACACCCGATTCACAAGGCAATGAAACTTCTGCTTTGGGGTGATCCACCTTTATTCTACACGGAGCACGGGGAGGGTGGCTGAATGCACGTCAGGAGGAAATAGTGCTGTTGAAAAGTAGAAATCTCCTGGACTTTATGCAAATAAAATAGCAGGGCACGCATGCACAGCTGAGAATGCCAACCAGGTTTTGTGTCCGACACAACCAATCTTGTTTGCACCGAAATCACTGACATCACTTTACATAAAGGTTAGCTACAACAGCAAAGGCAGCGAGCAGGGAGCCATCAGTCTTTACTGAAGCTGTCATTTATTTTTCTGAAATGGAAAAAAAAAATGAATCTCAGTGCTAAAGAATTTAAGTTTTTTTTAGCTTAGCATAGATATTGTTGTTGTTACATGTGTCACCGCCTTTACAGCTATGATGCAAGGGAGAATTTAAGGCAAAACAAAATTATTACCAAGACCTGTTTTTTCCACGTCAGCCTGAATTCCAAACAGCCTGATGGGATGGATGTCTCCATTGAGGCACCTAAAACTTCAAAATGTTTGCACAATGAATGTTTCCTGGGAGGGTTGTTGACGGTAGCTGTGGGCATGACAGTGACACAGCCGGGCCGATTCCTCATGCCATCGGGCCCATTTCAGTGGCACACACACTGACAGCCCTGGAAAATCATGGTGATGATGAATAAACCCCTGAGTGACAGAGGTGGCACAAGCCAAATTCTCCCACCCACACTGTCCCGTAAAGGAATGACATTATGATGAGTGTTCTCATTATGTGTAATATGAGCAAGGCCATGAGGAGACACTGAGAAGTCAGACATGCTGGATGTTTTTTTTTGTACAGGTGCCTGCTATGTGGAGGCAGGCTGCAGACAGGTATAATTGAGGTGAAGCAGTGAATAAGCCTCTGCAAGAGTGATGAGTTTATGTTTGACGTAAACAACTGCATTGTTGACAAACCTGTGATAATGATAGTAATGATAAGCGAGACAGACAAACGCATGTGTGCTGGGTCAAGTTTGGACAAGGATGAAAATGAATTATCTCCTCCAGGCTTAAGCCTTGAGAGCATCCTGCATTTGGTCGTGTGTCTGTGTGTGTCTTTCCGCAGCCGATCTTGCATTGTACTGAACCCATCAGCCTAATATTTTATGTGCACATTTATAATTACACTAAAATTCATTTTGCATCCTTGGGCAGTTCTGTTCAAAACATGTACTCTTATATTGAACATACAGTTACACATATGACACTTTTTAGACAAAACACAGCATGCAAGGAGTCAGAAGAGATAATGTTGTTGAACAAATGTAAGTTGAGTTTGGTTTCACACGGGTCATGAACAGCAGAGTCCTGTGTTTGTTTGACTCATCCATCCACCGCAACCTCATCTCTATGCAGACTTTGTAGCCCTTTATACAATATCAAGTTTCATTCTCTGTGACATTCGCTCGTAAAATGACACGCCGCCTCTGCACAACGTAAGTCAATAGAGACTAAATGGCGTGAAATGACCCACGGACAGCAAAAAAAGGTGTCAATACGTGATAACACTAAAATGATGCAACATAACTTCAACAAGCAGTACGTCATTTTCTGCCACTGGGGGTCTCTCGCATCAAAACAATAACAAAAGACATAGTTTGAAGACTTCATGAAGTAGCATGACCTCCTGGGAGGTGTTGCCTTCATTGCAGTCAGCTTTTCCCAGTTAGGAGAAGAGGTTTTAACAGGAGCAAAATTATCCACAGAGGTCTCCAAAACAAGAGGACAAGGTGAATACAAAGGGTAAAACCAGAATCACTTGTGGGTGATCAGACCCATCAGTTTCAAAACCCAGGATTAGCCTTCAACGTGAAATCCTTAATGTACCGTTTGTCAATTTAGTCTGTACTAGAACAGGAGGTTTCTACTGTCACATAATGTCATGGTTCGGTTTAAAGTTTAGTTTGTTTTGCCTCCTGTGTCTTGTCTGAATTTTGTTCCTGTCTGTCTTGATTACCTAATGTGTCTCACCTCTGTTTATCACCCTACCTGTTTGTTGGCATTTATAGTCTGTTGTTCATTTGCCTTAGTTGTTTTGTTTTTTTATTTCACCTGCATGTTCTTCCTGGAAAATTGCTTTTCCTTTTCACTGTGGACTTGTACCGTGTGTTTGGATGATTTTGCTTTTGTCGGGAGAGCTTTATTTTGATTTCTTGGACAAACCGATCCTCCCTCACTTAGTGTCTGCATCTGGGTCAAAGGCTAAGTTCAGACTGCAGGCCTTAATTTTTCCCTAGATTTTTTTTGGTTGACAGTTCACGTTCACTGCTTAAATGTGGCCCGTATCCGTGTCCATGGCCTGAAAGTGACCCGCATGCGCAGATAATAACACAACGTCACACGCCGGCTACAGGAGTAAACAAGGAGCAACAGAGGTTAGCTCCTGTTAGCCCACAGAAGACCCCCGTTTTTTATTGTCCTCTCACGAGAGGACAGAGCTCGCGGTCTGGTGGATTTCAGGTGTAAGAATGGGAATTTGTGAGCAGATGATAGCGAGGTAGAGGAGAAAGAGAGCCACATGTTTAATAATGGCCTTTGTGAAGCTTTTTCATTCACCGCGGCTCCGTCTACAGCAGAACTGCGACAACAGCTGCTCAAAGTCGCATCAATTCCGAGTGTCCCAGACTCAGGTCCCATTTAAAAAGATCCGATCTGTATCGGATTTGGACCACATATGGAAGTTGCCCAATTCCGGACTGGAAAAGATAAGATTGCATGAGACTTGGCCGGTTCACATTGTCATAAAAAAATCAGATCTGAGTCACGTATGGGCAAAAAAAATCTGATCTGCAGTCTGAACGTAGCCAAAAGATCCCTTTTCCGTGCCTCTGCACGAGGCAACTGTGACACATAAATACTTCCATAGTTGGAAAAGCCATCTTCAGAATGCGTATACAAAATGTAATGCATATATTAAAGAATTTGTGCTAATTTCTCAAATTGTGTTGTGTGTTTTGGCTGTGTTGGCTCGCAAGTTAAGAAGAAACATTGGCTGGTTTGCCTTCTTCTCTGAAATTAAAAGGTCGATACAAACTGTATCTCTGCACATCCAGTGTAGTGAAAATGCTTGGAAGGTTTTTAGCCTAGCTTAGCAAAGGCTGGAAGCAAGCGGAAGGTAGTTTGTTGCAAGGCTAGCAGTGGGGTAAGCCATCTTGGAATAATGTATAAACACTCCCAAGTTATAATTACAAGAGTTCTTCCCATTGTGTGGACATGGCGTGAATTCAGTATAGGCTCGGCTAAACACATTTAGAAGACAACCAAGCGTATTTTTCCAAAGGCTTAAGTGTTTCTTCAAGTCTTTTTGTAGGGGAGAGCAGGTATGGTTGTAACACTTACTTGCTTCAGCAACTAAAACTCGCTAAATGTTTTACCAAGAGTTCTCAAACTTTTAGTACCCACATTTGTTCACTACAAATGGCACCCGTTCAATCCTCTACAAGAATATCACAGACCTCGTGAGGTGATGATGTCAAATGCACTGTGTTCCCTTTGTTACCACCTACCGGGTAGCAAGAATAGATGCCAGACCATATGTTATGCTTCAAAAACAGGTATAGCGAAATAAAGGAACAATGTTTCTCGCTCACTGTGTCCGATGACTCGCGGTCATGTATGTGTATGTAAATGTGTCTATAGAACAAACTTACCTAACAGTATATTTAATAAATATTACTACATTGTACTTACTTAAGGAATATAATCTTTGTACATCCTTAGTCACAGTCAGTGCTTGAAGTGGGCCGCTACTCACCGGTGGACAGTAATATTAAAATCAAGAAAGTCCCTAGTTTTATGTATCGTGGATGGTTGTGACACTTTTTAAAGTAGTGTTACAACCCAAACCACCCCTGTCAGACAATGTTTAGTTAGCTTTATTAACATAGTGGTTTGAAATTAGAAAGGAAAAAATGCATCACATGTTGCCTGAGAAACTACATTTCAATCTCATATAAGTCAAACAATTTTATCTGCAATAGTATAGATAGTAAACAAAATATTGTCTTGGTTAAAAAATTTACTTTCTGACCTCAAAATCAGTTTTTTCTCTACTAAGGTAAATACTGAAATGATCACATGACTCCTATCTTATCTCTAATTGGTAGAATTGGTGTTGTTACAACTCTCCCCATGTTACAGCCATACCCGGTCTCCCCTTTACCTAATGTTCAAAACAAGGAGCATTTCCAGAGATAAATGCTAGTTTCAAATAGAACTGAAGGAACAATTCATAACAAACATCAGTAACCTAAAATGTTACCAGGAGACACACAATTCAGCTTACCTTGAGCAAAACGGAGCGCGGTGAATTATAATCTGTTGTGAAACTGAACTCTATCTCAAGAAAAAGACTCCCGCTGGATGACAATGGTGGGACTGGACCTCAGGCTACCTGTGTTTAAGACAGAGAGGAACACACTAAGAACAAAGATATGAAATATGTATGTTCTTTTCTTTAAGGGATTTTGGAAACCGAAGAAAATCTCATGAGCTGGATGGTTCTCACTCCACATGCTGTATCCCAAATGTTGCACTGCATCGTCTTAATCATCACCTTCTAGTTAGATGCACCTGAGGATACCAAAACTGCAGAGAATTCATTTCCTCAAATTAATTCAATTTCAGCACATACAGGTAGGAGCCTCCATCTGATATTCCTTAGGATTAGTCCGAGAGATAATTCAGAACCATCAAACATTCAGTCAGCAGTGGTTTTACCTGAGCTCTGCCATATTTTATCACTGCAGCTCATGAAAAGTAAAAAACAACCAAAGGACTGCAGAGCTTTGAACTCTATAATATGTGTGTAATGTATGTGAATGTGTGCCTGCTTTGTGTTCATTGGGTGCTGTTTCTCATAAGCAGCAACTCACAGTGACAGAAAATCAATAAAAACACTGTTATTGTTAGTCAAACAACATTTCCCCGGCCCTGATAAATGTCTCAACATCGGGGGTTTTGCAGTGCAGAGCTGTCAGACAGTGAGCTTAGACAGAGCTGCCAAAATGTGGTACAGACACTGGTTTTATGAGTTTATAGAGGAAGAGGATATGATGTATTACAGTAAACAGCATTGGTGACACAGAGACATACGCCAAAATAACCCTATTAGAATGCACTATGAAATACCCACTTCTTACAAAAGAGTCATCCTATTTTATCTTTATGCAACATAGGCACAGAAAAAGTTGGTCATTTAGTTAATCTGTTACTCAGATAGGAATCATTCTGGATCTACTGGTTTAAAACGTGGACACTTCTCATATCAATATGATTTTCTTGTTTACTTAATGTATGTACAAATTGATCCATTTTTGCATTATTCAGAATTCTCACCATATCATAAGTCTACATCTGACAAATACTTAGATAGGCCTACTCACGTGTTTTGTAAATAAGTGCAATTGTGTGGCGCGCTAAAGGATTAAAGTGAGATGCTATTTTACCAACAATTTTTTGTCAGCATCTGCCGGGGTTTTTCTGGATAGGGCGCCGCCATGCTGAGTTTTTGCAACCATCGGCAAACGAACGTGACCATATTTGGACGAGACGGTGGAGCTAACGGCCGTGTGGGAAGCTAGCTAGCTTGCTTAGCTAGGTGCATCTGTATGTCACAATAACGTCATTTTAACAGGGCTGACAATGAGAAAGTGAACAGCCAACTGCTAATACGTTTTTTCAGCAGCGCTGGTTAAATTTACACAGTGCCGTGGGTACGAGTCACTCTAGCCTGAATCCCGCCCTAAAGCCTCCCCTGCTTCCTGGTCTCTGTTCCTCTAAATGGCACCATGATTTACTAAATGAACATCATGCTGTGTTGAAGAAGACTTGAAACTAGCGACTGAGACCATAAACTCATCAGGAAAGTGTTTACTGAGGGAATAAATCAGCTGACAAGTAGAAACATTTTACCATTATTTCTAATGGAACAGGACTTCTTTTTGGAACCAGAGGAGTCGCCCCCTGCTGGCCGTCCAATAGAATGCAGGTTTAAGGGACTTCCGCGTTGGCCTCGCGTCTCCCACCGGAAGCTTCCCGCTTGGTTTTATCCTGATAACTTGTCCTACACGAATGAATAAAGTCTGTTTCTCACTATATAGAATATGTTTCTATCCAAATGTTTAAAGTTGTCAAAACACAATGCAAATCAGTGTTCTTTCCTTTAACAACCAGTGTGCAGATCTTCCAAACAGGGCGCAGAACCCCTTCTGTAACTCTTCTGTAAGCAATATTCTGGCAATTCATTGCTGCTTCCCACCTAATGTGGTATTTGTGGGTCTTTTATGAAGAGTTTTTTTTCCTCTGGCCACACATAACCCTGTGTTTTTGTCAGCAGAAATACGCTGACCTTAATCATAGATTCTCTCTATCAGTACATATGCGTCCATAATCACTACTCCCTATGTAATGGACACTCACAGTTATAAATAATCATCATAGTGTAGACTCACAAGACAGTGGTTCTTGCTTAGATAAAATGTTCCATTGTGGGGATTTTTGAGAGCGCTATATATAACGCACAGATTTCACAATCAGAATTTTAGTGCTCAAATAATATGGCGGACGGTAAATGTTGTATATTATATGATGAATAGGATGCGATTTTGTACATCATTTTACACATTTTTGCTTTAATTCAAAGGTGAACACAAGGTGACCGGAAATAAGGAAAGAGAGAGTCCCCGGCTGGAATCAAACCGGGAACATTGCCATTACAGTAGGCCACTATTTTTTCAGTCAGACTTGAACTACAATTTCTCCATCCCAACAAGTCTTCCAGTCGATTCCACCAGTGAAAGCCGGTCCACATCAAGATGTCATCGGTTAGCAACTGGGTCCCAACCATCTTCATTTGTCAAAATAAAAATTAAAAAAGACTCTACCTTATATGTTTCACTTTTGAGACTGGAGATGTAACTGACTGGTTATCCACAGATTATAAACTGTGGTCTACTTCCAGCGCTGCTGCTGTTGCCTTAGCAAAAAGACCAGCTGACAGCACACCACTTCTGTCAGACTGCAATCTTTTTGTGTAAAGATGTTTATTGGTTATCTACATGAGCCATGTACTTCTATTGGTAGCTTTATGAAAAATAATATAAATTATTTGATGGGAACAATAAAAGAGATTCATTTTGTTCATGGGGCACTACATGCCAACTACAGTTGAACTCCATTTTTTTGTTTTACAACATTTTAGTGTCTGTGAAGTGTCTATCAGTGTGGTTATTTGGATGGTCAGCTGCAGAAACAGTCTAATCATGGCGATAATGATGGAACCTGATAATGCTCCTGTAAAATACTGACATTTCAGAAATAGTTTTCTTTGCTTTTCCAGTTCTGTGCCTCCCAACAACTATAAATGTTCCAGCCAGTTGCTTGAACTTCATGGTTTCTGCTCTGATCTGCATTGTTATCTGTCAAACTTCAGACAAATATGTTCCATTGAAATTGACGTTCAGTCAAATCATGTTGCTGAATTATTACAAAAACCGTCTTTTAAAAACATCTTTCAAAAGAAACAAAAACCCACTTCTTAATTAAATTTGAAATGTTTTTTGATGGCGTTGAAAACTTGAATTAAAATATGTCTGCTTTTGACTTTTTGTTGATTTGTAATTCTTTGTTAATATACAATTCTACTGGGACCTTGTGGTGTTATTCTGCGTAGGTCAGCGACAATGAAAATGAAGAAAAAGCCACGCGGGCTCTGACAGTGCTGCATTATGAGAAAAGCATGAAAATCACAAAACCAGGTATTCAATAGAAATAATGAAGAATAATGTCACTGTAGCTACAGAGGAGGGGGAAAAACCTATAGGTCCAACAGTCTGGGTTTGATTTACCTCAATTAATACACAAACATGTCTTTCTCTGTAACAACTTAGTCTTTGCACGGTACATCGGATATATGCACCCTCTATTGAACGCTTAGCAAAAAGGTCATCATCCCTCACAGTTATTTAACAATGCGGATTCCAGGTTTTTCCCACGTAACGAGCCACCAGAGTTTATTCACATAAACAGCCAGGTCCAAAATGTGCCACACGCTCTGGCTTTTGAGCTACCAAATGTAAGAGTAAAGCCATCTGCAAACATACAAACCTTTAATATGTGACTCGACGCTTCATTGACCAGTGTACTCCCCTGCGGCCAATACTCAGCTCCACCGTGATGGAGAGTTACAGTTTGCTGACAGTAAAAAGAGACCAGTCGATCTCCTCACAGGTCTCCCGGGGCTCCCTGGTCTCTTTGGTAATCTAAACTAAAAAATGATGGCAAGGCAGCGCAGAGTCTACCGCATATGAGACAGTTTAAAGGTCCTCTCACGTCAAACAAACTCAAATGCAACCAAATGTGTGAAATGATCCTTAATTGTTAATAGGATAGGGCGCACGTGGTTTAACACGCCTCAGCTACATAAGAAAGATGCTTTATTTGTTCCAGCAATGACAACAGACCCAACAGAATTAATTCATTTATTAAATGGTTCATGCAAGAAATATTAACACTACCTCAGATCTTTCAGGAGTCCTGTTATCTTCTATCACATATATTAATTAGTCATGAGCACTGTGAAAGTACAGGATTTTGTCCCCCCCCTACAACCACATCTGACACTAACAGGGAGCGTACCTCACAAACCAGAAGATGACCTTCAGCGAGAAAGAAAGGAAGAGAGAAAACTAATTACTCGTTCGGAGATAATACAGTCATTTTAATGATAGAGAAATGTGTAAATGATAAATGATAGAGAGATTACTAAGAAACACTTTTAGGTCCACACTTTAGCTGTACATGGTGTCACAATCCTGGTCTCAGTCTGTCTTTTTTTTTAGGGGTTTTGTTCCACGTTTCGTCTGTTCAGCCTTGTTTATGTTTATTTGCATCTTCAGCTTAGTTCAGTTCCATCTCTTTCTGTGTTATTATTTTAGTTTTTGTCTGTGTCAGTTATTTGTCTTGGTCCTTAGATGTGTTTACTATTTTTTCCCCTTTTTGAGTCACATGTATTCAGTGTTTTGTTTTACTCATTCTGGTCCGGTGTCGTTTGTTCTGGGTTTTGTCCACTTGTCGGTCTGACTTTGAGAGACTTTTGTTCCTGTGGACATTTCGATTTTCATCTTTGGATTGTGTTTTTATGACTCCCCCCCTGTTTGGACTGTGCTTTACATTTTTAGATTCTCAGTAGGTCTGAACGATTAATTAACTGAACGCCATTAGCTAATCGTGAAGACAACGATTAAAATGTAGGTTAATTATACAGCGAATCTGACCTGTCATGACCCCTCCTGTTATGGTCCTACTCACCAATCAGAGCGAGCACAGGGTGTGTATAAATTACAACAAACGAAACTAGAGGAAAACGTGAGATAATGCATCTGACTTCCTGCT